GCAAGTTCACCACAATTTGCATGAGCGACGTGTGCAAGTTGGAAGAAGATTATCAAGTCGTAGAACAAACCAAATAAGATGTAACGAATTTTATCCACATTAAAAAGACCTAGTTTAAGTGTAAGTTGGTTTAGTCTAACTGCGGTGAAGAAGCATCATGAATGCTACATCAGCCTCAGCATGGGGCACAATCATTATATATATATATATATATATATATATGCATGCTTAGATTCAGAAACTTAGGGCATAATAATTAAAAAGGTTAAAAGATGCGGCATGTGAAAGAGTAAAAATGTTCCTTTCTTTATGCGGCACAGTAGCTGAAGCGTGTTGCTCACCTTCAGCTGCAGTGCAACGATGATTACGACGCGGCGACTCTACACCTGACCCGCAAATCTCTATGGTTTTTGTTGGTCCTGTCTATTTGCTAGACTGCTGAGATTATTACTACTACTACTAGAGCCAAGTCAGCTTACGCCCAGGTCGTGCTGGAATCGACCACATATCTGCTCTTTGCTGATCGTCAGAGTAGAGATACACATTTAGACAACCAACTATGGTGGGTTTTTGTTGACTTGAAATTCACCTTAGACTTTGTTAATGGCACCAGCTTGTGGTACTGTCTATTTATGAAAGGCGCGCCAGGGAAAATCTTCCCACTCTGAAGTCTATCCACGCGACTTCCGACGCCGAGTAAAGGTCTACGGGAAGATGTCTCCCGATGTCCCAACGCAAGTGGGGTTCGTCAGGGTTGACACATATATCAGTTCTTTCCCAACTTCGTGAACTTAATACTCATTAAAGACTCCGTTCTCTGACTCTTCCGGAGTGGAAGTTCTGCCAGATGACCGACTAGCAAACCTTCAGTATGCGGACGATACAGCTCACCATGGGCCTGACACAGTGGCTGTGCAAACACTCCCGAACAGAATAGTGCGTATCGCTGCACGCTAAAGCAGATGATTTGTACCTTCAAAGTGTCAAATATTGTTGCAGGACTGGACCGATACGTCGCCGGTTTTAGCTGTCAGCGAGTAGACACTGGAAGCGGTGGATCGGTTCACTTAGCTTGGTAGCTGTGTCACTTCTCGTGGTCATATAAGTGAGGAAGTTACTTCGAGTATCAATGAAGCCCGTCTGGCTTTCAAGACTCAACGATTTAAGGAGACGACGGGATACCAGCCTGTCAGTGAAAGGTAGGGTGTATAACGCTGCGGTAATGCTGGTATCACTGTATGCAACAGAGACCCGGTCCGTTCGCGGCGAAGCCATTAAACGATTGATTGTGTTTGACCACCGATGCCTGCGGAGTATTGCTCACGTCTGGTGGGAACACCGACAGTTGGTTTTTGGCAAGAAGCCTTACGGTGCCTCACTCGAGTGTTCATTGAATCTTAATCACTTACGGTGGCTAGGCCATGTCCTTCGTATGCCCGGCTTCCTCAGCGGTCATTGTATGTCGTGGCTGCATCAAGTTGGGCGAAACCACGAGGTGGTCACTTCATGACATGGCATAGTTGCATGAAGAAATTCCCTGAGAGACTTGATCAGGCTGGTGCGTGCCGTCTTCGTGGATGGGGACATCGGGATAGTCCACACCAATGGTTAGAGACCGTAGCAGACATGGCGCAGTCACGTAGTCAGTGGCGTTCCTGCATTCGGTTTCTTGCCACTGGTTGTTAATATTCGTACCATTCTGATTAGTGTAAGGCAATTCTTTCTAACATCCATTTGCTTTACATCCCATTTGCCTTTAACCCTACTATCTTGGCGTCGCTCTCGCAATGTGAGTCGTGGCAACTAGACCCATTGCATTTCGGTAGCTGGATCATAGCTGTTTAGACTGAAACTTGAACCACACATGAGAAACAACAGATAGGTGAACCGATTCACCACTTCCAGTGGATGTTTAACGATATTACGAGCGAATGGAGTTCAAGTCCAACACTGAAACATTACTTCCTTCTCTGAAGGTACGAAGTAGGCAGTCACGAGTGCAATGCGCCACGTTGCCGTGCTCGGAAGTGCTGCACAGGAGGTGAGCACGGTCACAAAAGCACCAAGTGGTCCAGGTACTGAACGCTTGACAGCCGGTAGCACTAAAGGTTTTGATACAGAAGAGCCGGAAAGGACAGATTCATTCAGGACTTCTCAGATATCAAATTCGAAGAACAACACTAATACACGCACATCGTCGCTGCGCTCTTATGTGGAAACTATTCGTGGCTCCATACAGGGACTTAGCAGCGGTGATAAGAGATTCAGGATCGAAGGAAACTTACTTATATGCATTAAAATACAAACACAATGGCAACCACTCACAATCATTTGAATCAAAAGCAGACTTCCAGTAAGGAAAGGCAAGCATGAATGTTTATCGCTGAAGCTGTTCAAGCCCCTGGCGTACACTTTAACCATTTAAGAAACGTGTCCCTGCCCTGGTGGCAGTCACGCTGGTTTTCGCTAGTTTCACTTTTCTATAGTCATATTGGGATCACGAATGCGAGTAGCTCCGATGTTAGCATAAGTAGGATAATGTCATAGTGGCTGTCAGAGAATGCTCAGTGACCAAACTTAGAGTTGGAGGGCGTTCAACGAGTATCTTCCCAAAGGTAAACACTCAATAATCATGCAAGTTGCTGCAGTCCACATGGAGGAACCATAAACTTCAACTACTGTGCCGCAACGTAATGCAAGAAGGGATACTAAAAAAGAAACGTAAAATAATGAATTATATATAATATAAAGGGGGAAAATAGTATGTTTTATTTATCAAAATGATGCAACAATAATTGGATCGTGGGTTGGAGGAGGCGAAACGGGGTGGCGTGGGCTAAAAAAATACAACATAGACGTCATTGTGATTGGTACTTCGCTAGCTCAACAAATGTATCTAACAAATCATGCTCCTCAGTTATCGGGCCAAAGCCCATCAGTCTGGAGGTACAACCCGAAGCCAAGTACGAAGTGAAGGCCTTCATTCCGCATAGCCAAGTCAACGGTTGGTTCCCCTTTTTCTTCTTATTTCATCTACACCCAAGTCACGCAAACAAGGCACGTCGTGGGAATCGGTGTGCTGACATGCGTAGCACGTTGCCTACTCTTCTGAGCCTGGTGAGTAAAATAACCGTGTTGAGTCGTTCACATGTCATAAACAAGACGCCGAACACGCTCACTGTTCTCGAGTATTCAAAAGCACCAGTAGTCTATTGGATGGGCCAGATTTCTCAAATACGCTGAATGGATGGTAGACTTTACCCTTAAGGGTTGCGCCGGTGCCAGAAGTGGCGAAGATGACTCCGTACATTGCGGAATTGAAAAAGGTGGCAGTGGACATTCTGTCTCACACCGATAAATCAATCAAAAAGCGGCGATAGCTTGCTTTAAGCTCCCATTATGCCCAAACTATGCGTGCAAAACCGCACCTATGATATGGAAATTTTTGTCGAGCACACTGAGGCACATAAATCCACCAAATCAAAGGTACCTTTGAAGTCACTTTGATATCAGTTGCAACAGTCAGATCCCATGTTCGACTTCTGCACGAGAGAGCGGATCCAAAGTGAGAGCCCATGGAGCCGGGCGATCGCTGACCGAAGGTGAATCTGGCAGTTGCGTTAAGGTAAATTGCTTAGCCCAACGAAATAGCCCGAGCCGTAGCGAATGTCATGTTCATCGAGCATCGCAACATCTTACTTGGCGTAACCCCGTTAAGATGCTAAGCCGCTAGGTTTATAGATGAAAGCTGATATTTTAAAACACGAGAACGACATAGCAAATATCACATTGAAATCCATCCTATGGTCATAAAATCACACGAAGGAATCAAGAAGTGCACGGATTGGCAGTTGATCGTAAGTGAGCAAATTGTCAAGAAGTTTATTGATACGAAGATGAGGGGTTTAACTAAAAGCGAGTAAACGAGAAGATGAGTTAGATTAGGCCGATGACATCGCACTACACCTGCGGAGTATGCAAACCATTCTAAGCCGTTTGGCGATTGAGGCATCTAAGTACGAAGTGTGCTTTGCTCCGTCAAAATGTAAAGTGCTGCTCCATGATTGGCACTCACCCGTTCTCGTGCTCACTACTGAAGGCGCACAGATTGAGTACGGTAATAGCTTTGTAAACCTGGATAACTGCGTGTTTAATGGTGGCGCTATTAGCAAAGTAAGTTGTCTCCGCATCGCCAAACCCTGGTCTGCGTTTGTCAATCTGTAACACATGTTACGTCGTCGGAATGTCTCGCTCTTGGTAAAGGGTTGTGTTTACGATGCCACCGTTCGGGCGATGTTGCTATATGGTAGTGAGTCATGGCCAGTTAGAGAAGATGACATGCGCGGGCTCTCGGCCTTCAATAATGAGTGTTGAGGAGGAATGCTTATGTATGGTGGCAAGGACGTACCTACAACGGTGTAGTCACACGTTATGTCTTAGGGAATGTGAGTATTCCCTTCAACAAGCTGTTTCGCTGTCCCAGTTAGGATGACATGGTCATATCTTGTGTATGTCAGCTGGACCTTCGTCCCAGTGCGCCCTTTTCGCTCGTGCAGGACTTGGCTGGAAGAGACCATGCAGTGGTCAACCGTCCACTTGGCGACAGTAGATGAAATCATTGACTTTACGTCTTGTTGCCGTTGGATTCACATGTCTGCCTGATTATGGACCAAAGGACGAGGAGTGCCGATGGCTGGAAACAATTCAGTATATGGCGAGCAATCGAAACCAGTGGAAGATCTGTAGGCAGACTTGTTTAGATTCATCTGCTTAATGCGTAACAGTTGAAAAAGTCAAAAACAGCGAAAATAGTAGCGTGTGTAAAATATAAAAATGTTCTGCGTTTCGTTGTTGCACCACAATAGCTGAAGTGTGTTGCTCACCTTCAGCTAATGTGCCATGATGAGGATGTGGTAATTAAGCCTCACTTCTTGTGGTGATTTCCATGGTTTTGTTTGGCTCTGTCTATTCGCTAGACGTGCTAATATATAAATGCATACCCTAAAGTTTGTGCAGAAATAAAACGACGTAACACATGTTTTTGTAGGGGTTTAACCGAAACCTTACTTTGGACGCTGACAGTACTTGAAGTGCATTGTGCAAAGTTAGCCGAGCTGGCACTGGAATAAGAGTGAGGACGAACTGCCAAAGATGGTAGTTGAAGATTGCGGGAAAACTGCTCAAGGTTGACAATTCTGGGAGGAAGGCAAGCCTTGCCGAAAGGCATCCGGTTGGGACGGATATGAGCCAGGCGAACTAGACCTGGCTGTGTCGCTGCTGTTTTCAGTATATGAGGGAGAGCTGTGGAAACCGATCCCAGGCGGAACACAATGCCAAATTTCAACACGTGATGTGCCACTATCGGAAAGGAAATCGTTGATAAATGAGTGGAGACGATAGTGTTGCGCACAATAAAGGTTTCCAAGTATGAGTTATATGTGTTCATTTATGTGAATGTAGAACAAATATTAAAAGCTTGCTCAATCAGGTTCATCAACTACGATGTGTACACTGAAGTACGGTGAACGTAGTTGACCCTAATCAGGCCACTATGATAAAAGCAACAAAAGTGCAGAAAATATTGAGGATGAAAAAACGGTCAGTGCTGTGTCGTACTCAGTCGTTGCGCAGGAAGTCGTAGCTCTGGGGCCAACCGCTGCCCTATGCACAGTTCGTAACCGGCATGACAATGAAGAACGAGCCGCGTCGTCACAGTCAGATATCATTCATGCACGTCCGCCGCCGTCAACCGTGGCTTAGTGGCACAATCTGCCGGTATCGGGGTCACAGGGTGGAAACGGCAGCCTGGTGCTTTGGCAGACGTGTGTGAATCTACCTGACTAAAAATACAGAGAAATCGTACCGTGCGGGACTTCGTATGCTCTGGGCATTACGACGCATTTTCTCCACATGATCCGAAAAACCGTCCCTCGCCTAATCACCTCGCTCATTAGACCAATCCTTGAATACGGTGCCTCACCTTATCATCCCATAATAAAGTGGGAAACTGAAAAGCTGGAGAAAATACAGCACATCGCAACTAGAATGATAGACAGTCGAGAGAAACTTCCGTATGAAAAACATTAGAAAGGCTCGGACTCTGCACACTACCCTACCGATGAGTAAGAATTGACCTTATTATGACCCATGGAGCACTACACTTGAATCACTTCTCTATACTGCGGCCAATATTTCACCTGCGGGAACCCTGTAACACCAGAGGACACCGTTACAAACTCAGGGTCCTCTGCATGAACAAGGTATCACATCAGCTTTGTACAGAACAAAGAATACAAAGAAAGGACTAATAGAGGCCGATTCTTTGAAGTGTTTTGAAATACGTATCGACCAGTATTTCGGAAGCCAGTGCTTTTGTGAAACGGTGCACATGCAATGGAAAATTTACATCCTATACCCGGAAATAATGACGTCAATACGAATTGCTAACCGAACAAGGATAAACGATTAAGTGGCCATACTTTATCGCTGACGATTCGCAATCAAATGCTTGATTTTGCTTAATTCGGTAGAGTTGTACAGAAACCTTTCTACTTGCTCTTAAATATAGCCTGCGACAGGCGATTGCGATGGCTTCATTCAAATTACATCAAAATCTTCACTACTCATTAGTAATCAAAACTAACTAAATGCAAAAGTCTTAAGGGTTTCGAGACTGCGGTAGTGACCGTAAACACTGAATTGGTCCAGAAGCTATGTACAGGAAGGTTGTAAGCATCCGGTAATCGATTTGCTTAGATGCTAGCGTTGATGGGAAAGCAAGAAACAGAACAGCTCTGGAGTCGCTCATCTATCGAAATGAGTTTAAATGACCGAATTCCCTAGATATCGACACGTGCGTTAGGAATCGGAGTATAAAGAACTTGACACACAAGAGGTTCGTTGACATAGGTTACAATAAAAGGTATCTGCAATATACCATCCCTTTGCAGTGATACTACGCTGGCGCCCAACTGTAAGCGGTCGGGTGCGGACAGACACTGAGAGGTCACCAAAACGTACTCAAGAGAGGTGAAGCGAACACGGGACTCAGAGGTTGCGGATCTAACGCCGGGTCGCTACATTATGGATCCACGATTTAGTGATTTGCAGCACCCCAAAGACACTCCCAATAGAAACTAAAGATGGCCAGTGACTGGTTCAAACGAAATAGTGAGCCACGTTATTTGACCGGCGGGAGATCACATGCGTTGTTACTTCACTCATTCTTTAGCTGGGTCAGCAAGTGGAAGAGCATCTTAGTCATCACATTGCACTGTGAACTAGCATTTCGGGATAAATAAAGTTCGAAGGAAGGAAAACATGCCTGATAAATATGTGAGGAAACAACAGAAGAGAAGACGTGTTCATACGGTAACACGTAGAGACCAAAGTATGGACTAAATCTTCTGCAAAAATAACGAAGGGACAAGTAGTCGTTCCACCAGATGAAGCATCACCTCTGAATGAAAGCAAAACGAAGAAGAGGAGTTAGCGCTATATTACCATTGATAACAGTGGAAGGCAAAAAGCAGGTCAGGCAGTCGTCACTAATGCCAGATGAAATCCTTACCTCCATTCGCGACCTTTAGGTAATCGTTGACGATATCCAGTAAAGTAAGTTGAGTTACATGAAAGGGGAGATCATACACGGAAGTGTATTGGGTACGAAGCTCAGCTAGATGAACGCTCTCGCAAAACAACGCTTCTGCTGCATTAGCGCATCCACTATGCATTAGATAACCTGGGAAAATTAGGTAGTTGATTACTATTGTTATTCGAAGTATTGTACCGAGAACAAATCGGCATATCTCAGATGGGAGCAGAGTAAAATACTCTGGAACGGAAGCAGCAGGCATGAGCATCGAAATCGAGGGTGATCGTGGGATTAGACAGTCAAACGATCCGGTTGTACAAATGTCAGTCACCGGGAGAACAGCAGCATCGGGTAAGAAACGAGCTATGCGAACATAAGTGCCAACAGATGAATCCAATCGGTTGTGAAAATCTGCAAGGGAAGGGGATGTTAGTAATTAGGTGCATATGGAAAACAGACGTTAGACAGATGTACACGACCCGTTCCGCTTCAAACAGTTATAAGGTTATTTTGATTGGCACGCTGTATGAGCTCAATGGGTTGTCACCAAAGATGAGAAAGAACAACCAATGTTTAGTGATCTGGGACTATTCAAAACAAACCAGAGCAGTTTCTGACCAATAAGGCGCAGACTCGAAAAAAGTCACATGAGGCTGATGGTGGGCGCACGATAGTAAGATAGACCAAAGTGGTCATGAATCTCCAACGTCGCATGTGACGGGTCCGAGGCGAACTTCTGAGTAAATTCAAAGTAACATCCTCGAGTCGGAAAGGATGCGCCACATTGTGGGTCATTACAGTAAGAGCGAGTGGAACACGTTCGCTTATGGCGCTTCAAGTCAATGCTTTAGGAGTTGAATTGGAGATAGGTGTCGCAAAACTCGGTGCTTCAGGAACAAACGGTTTATTCAGCAAAGCAAGCTCGGCAAAATCGACAGCCTGACAAGCATGTAGGAACCTCGATACAAATAACTAAAGCATTTCCATAAATAACGACGCTGCTGCACCCACAAGATTCTTGCTTTGAATCAGTTAAACAAAGCCGCTCCAGCGAACCAATCATCGCGTAGAAGAGATATGAGTAGCCATCCTATCAACTACTCTGTTCGCGTGCGGCACGTTTGCCGCTTGCTCGCACAATTCTATCACAGGTATCATTGAAACCCGATCAGAACAGATAAACAAGAAATAGTAACCATATTCAGAACTCGGTCGTGAACATTTTACGTCTTCTATGTCGCCGATGTATCCTGTCCGCACAGACGGATGGCCACACGTCCCATTTGTGCGTGTTTTTGGTTAATCGTAGGCAAAAAGTGAATACGAAAATAAGCGGCGTAGTATGTCCAAATAACTTATTAAACATTATTAAGCATCTTTTACACCGGTTTTCATTGCCTGTAGGCCATTACTTTTTGATAAAAGCGTAATTCCAGTCAGCACGGCTGACCGTTGAAGAGGCCTAAATGATCATTTTTATGCCCCTGGCCACCCCAGTCGGACATATTACGGATGAATTCCGGTCACTCGAAAAGATTTCGGTCTAACCTTGCGGTTCAGGGATTGCGTAAGTACGGTTTGGAATTTGATTTCCGCTTATACAATAAGCGTGCTACCATCAACATGTTGATGGTATTTGTAAGTATAAAAAATGCATTCACGGCATATGTTAAGTGTGGATTGGAGAAAAGTTTTCTGAGACAGAAATTCGTCCCAAATATGTCGGCCAGGGGCATAAAAATTGTCATTCAAAGCACCCCAACCGTCAGTCCAGCGGACATTTTTCGGTTGCTCGTGTTGTGTAGGTAGATCCCTTCTCTAATGTAAACCAGCAAGAGTCCGCCTAATTCCTCCAATTATGATGTCACGTTGTTCCCTAGGGTGAGTGATCTATGGTTGGCGGCATCCGGTTTCGGATTTGCCTGTCACTGTGGCCAGCCACAGGACGCCTGCGCCTACAAAGGGACCATGGGTGGCTTGCGCTGCACCACCCACAGCTCCAACCACATACCCCATATACAGTGTAAACCCCAAAGGAATAAGACCGGAAGGCATGCGGATGGGAACCACGTTTCATCAACGGAGCCGGCCCACACTCCTTCACAGACAAACACAAGCACGCTGTATTTGGGGAATCAACCGCACACAAGGCGGTGGCTGGACCGTAGTCCGCTCCACACTGACTGCATGGAACCGCTCTTTGAGCCCAGCACGGCCACAAGGACCGTGCACCCCGTCCCCTCTAGCAACGACCAACTGTCTCCTGGAGCCAGTATGAACGAGATAGTGGGTAATAGACAGGTAGGCATCTTGTCAACATGCACATCAAGCGCAGCCACACCGGGGATATCAAGCAACAGCCATTCACTTTAAACGACAAGCTGAAATAAAATAAATCTATACACAGGATCTATACACAGGAGGCTAATATCATGTTAGACAATAATAACAAATGCTATCAGGGTCATAAGTTCAGTACCGTTAATCAACCGTGGATCCGTGCACTGGGTTGCGGTAGACAATTGCGTTGAAACACGGCACTGAGTGGAATAAGTAAGAGTTACTATCGTCAGATGGTACAACCAAGAGTCAGAAATGATAGAACGAATGAATGGTTAGTAACGACCTCGTGATAGTGCCATATATGGCCACTGATAAGGACGATTGCAGCGACTCCACTCAAGAAGACGATAAGTGACAATGTGACTCCAACTTTAAGCCAGCTTCCTCATCACTTTCGCCATGTCATGGACTGGCCGCCTCAGGGTTTACTCAAAAAAGCGCAACATCGATAAAGGATATATGCCGAGGCAAGACGGTGTCAGACATGCGGGGCACATGACTATCCCGAGGGAGATTACTTAAATAAAGCAGGCGCTCCAATGGGGCCTCGGGGTTTGTTATCAAAAGCCTGATGACCAAATTCAGCGTTACTCACTCGGTCCTTCTATCAAATATGAGCGGTAGTTCGCATGCCTCAGGGATCAAACAGGGTTTTCAGCGCACAGCCGGCAGGTCCCTAATTCATGCAGCAACATCTGCTGCAACGCGGCACAGCAAATGCTTCCCTCGAATAATAAGCGTACACATACCACTTCTAGACTTTAAGGCATGGTCGGAATAATAGTGTATTAGGCAGTACTATCATGTCTAGATAGAACGTCAGCTATCGCCAAAGAATGAAGTGAAAGGGATATGAAAAAATTAGCGGCCGCCTGAGCACCATCTACAAGGTGCAAAGACAGGAAACGAATTTCTAATGTTCTGTTAAAAAATGGAGGACGCTTCGATGACTGATCAGTGTCAGAGTACAATGACTAACGAGGAACACAACTGACAACTGACGTGACCATCGTACGAATTGTGCCAAAATCCCGTTTATGTTACAGTGCTCGTGCTTATGCGTGTATTGGAAGTGTGCTGTTTCTGGCTATGTTTAGGCACCATGTCAGTATTTCAGCCCAATTACGACAGCAAACAGCATCCTTCTACCGTATCAGATTCAGTGGAAGCTTTAAGGAGCCGTATACGATTGTGTTCAACGCGAAGTACAGCAGCTGAAGTATTACTTGGAACAGCGTCACCCACAATCACAACACAAATAGACGAATGCATACGACAGAACCCTGTTGCGAGAAACCACCTATCAGACTGTGATACACAATTCCTTGGCTAAGTTGGACCCAGGTTCAGAACACAAGTCCGCCAATCGTGCTTACATTTATGTGGAGCATCTTCTGCGTTTATGCATGACAAAAGTAGACTCCATGATTTCCACGCGACTGCCAAACCAAATGCAAATAGATTACACCCTCACCATCAACTGTGTGTGTGCCCGGAGATGCTAGTGCAGCAAGTACGGAAACAGCTGAAGCGGCCGTTGCTGTTAGCCAAAGGAGTAAGTCCTCCCCAGCTGAATACTGAGAGTAGAAAGCGAGATAAAAATCTGTGTTGCCCCATCTTAGGTGGGACGGGCACATGTGCGGAACCACGTTGCTGGTTCCTGCGCTGTAGCAGCATACTGCAGCTGTATATCTTATCCGGGTGCGATACGCTCCCTATACTTGTAGTCCGCAAAGTGGGTGTCAAGGAATCTCTTAAATTCCGACACCGATTTCGCCTCCACTAGCGTCTCCGGCAATTTGTTCCAATATTTCACCACTCGACGCTCGAAGCATAGAGGGTGAGCGATGCACTTTAAATCCGGTACCGCTAGTTTGTACCGGTATCCACGCGTGCTGCTTGGTGCGCGAAAGTGCAACAGCGGTTTCAACATAGGAAAGTGGCCCAGGTGCATTATCCAGTGCGTCATAATGAAAGCAACTCGAAGTTGGCGATATGACAGGGAACAAAACCCTAGTCTCCTACATCGGTCCTCGTACAACATACCCCGTAAACTGGGGATGCAGGACCCGTTCCAGTCTCTGTACCTCACCTATTGTGATCGGACAATAGGCAAGTGAGCCGTACTCAAGCACCGGTTCTATTATTGAAAAGAATAGACGGGTGGCAATCTCTTCAGACCAAGTGCAGAAGCTGCGTCCAAGGGTCCAAAACAGGCGTAGTCCGTTTAGTCGGTCGCCCTGCGCATTATCTGCAGACAGCCTGAAGATTTGGAGGATTACTGATTCTCCCGGCGACTGTGACGTCCGTCAGTAGGACCTCAATCGGCTATCCCGATGGTGTGCAGAAGTTGATCTACCGATCAAAACGGCAAAGTTCTCGCTTATGTGACTAGAGAGGGGTGGTAATGGACGTGTATACACCCTGGTCGGCCACCCGCTGTATCCCATCAGTTTCGTAAAGGATATAGGCGTACCCTCCCACTGATTGCACCTTCGTGAGAAATTGTCTGTAGGAAGCCGTCTCGACAACATCAAATAGCGCAAGGAGCAGCACTAGATGTTGCAGCTTCATGAGTGACGCCCATACCGCAGCTAACTGCAGCCTAAAAACTGTCAACCCTGACACTGTGAACCTAATACACTGTTATTCAGTGCTACTGGTTACATCGCTTTCAGTTAAAACGAAAGAACGACCAGTTCGTTATGGTTACTTACACCTATAGCAACTCAGCGGAAAACAAGGCTACCACTCAACAGAATAAAAGACCTAAAATTATGCGACCGAAAGGAATCCCGTGGCAGCACTGTGAACCAGAGAGAGAGAGAGAATGACGGACCTCCGGTGAGAGTGCCTGTACTGACTCAGTCAAAGGTGAGCACACGCATCATCATCATCATCATTACCATCATCATCATCCATCAT